AGTACTAATGATTAAATTTAGATAGTAATTTAAATTCTAAAATTAATTTTAACACTACATTAAAAATTCAAGTATATTTATAGGATTATATGTTTTTCTTCTTTTGCTTCATATTCATATATATCCACTCTATATCATCTTAAAATATCCATTAAATAAATTACACAAATACGGAGGAAGTTAAAAATAGTATTTTCTATAAACATTATGTATATCTAACATTCCCACCATGTAGCGGTGTTGCCATTACAGGTTTATTGTGATTTTATATAATCACAACTTTGACTTGCTTTTAAAATAATATTGGTAAGGGATTCAAACCCACCGACTCAAATTTCAGTCATGAAAAACTATGAATCACTCTGGAGTATATGATGTTTAGAAGGTGAAACTGAAATAATTGCAATTTATTCAATTGTTAACTATTTCATTTATTTGAATTTTTTCATGCTAGTTGACATAGATACAAATGATATCAATTGTGATGAATCATTATTCTGTATGTATAATTTTTTTATACACTAAATGCTTACATAGTCGTATAATGATTTTATTATAAATCATATAAGTCTAATTGATTATGTATATTTTTAAGCTTTGTCAATAAATGCATGATCCATATCAAATAAATATACTCGGTTTTGACACCTTTCCTATATAACATATATTTCATAAAGACACAAAAATTTAAATTTTTTAATAAAAGTTAAATATTACTTTTTTTCCTTAAAAATTATTACGGAATAATACTTTTCTAGCATTATAAATTATTTTAATTTAAAGGAAAATGAAAATCAGTGTCTTCAGGAAACAATTTAAGACCTTAAAATACTAATTTTGTTTTGAAAATCTGCGTATTTAATGTCTTGGAAATTGAAAAGGTTAAATTTTCTATAAAATATTTCTTTTTTTAGAATGTTTAAAGAGTGCCTTGAAGACACTGATTAACAAGACCCTAATTTAAATGGATAAGGGAGTATATATTTAATTTCATCACTATCATTCCTAGTCAAAACTTGATTGAGGGAGCAAATTCGTTCATTTATAAAATTAATTAATGTAATTGCATTTAAATCTTTATTTTTGCAATAAATAAATATATTTATTTACTTTAAATTGTACAAGTAAATGTATCGAATTTTATTAATTTGTACCTTTTTTAGTCTCTAACTACCAAGTCAACGCATCCCGAATTAGTATGGTAATTGTCTTTGGTGGCTATGATAGATAGTTCACATTGAACTGCACCTTTCACTCACTAGAGTCCTATTCGATCTTTATCGATAATTACTCATTTAAAAGATATATCACCCCTAATTTGAACTCTCATATGACCTGTTAATGATATGAGAATTATTATCAATATTTATTTTTTAGTTAATGTGATATTTTGTTTATAAATAAATAATCCTATCATATTTTATTTTTCGAATGTCTAGTTAATAATGCCTACTTTTGTTTATTAAAACATTAAAAATATTTAGATTGCATTTGTTATTAATCAATTAGAATTGACTTTGATATATTGATTTTTGATTAAAAACAAATTGATTTATATTTGAAGTATTTCAGTATAATTGATATTTATTTATTGAGAGTTATTTTAATAGTTTATATTAAAAATGGTTTTGAGTACTAATGATTAAATTTAGATAGTAATTTAAATTCTAAAATTAATTTTAACACTACATTCAAAATTCGAGTATATTTATAGGATTATATTTTTTTCTTCTTTTGCTTCATATTCATATATATCCAATCTATATCATCTTAAAATATCCATTAAATAAATTACACAAATACGGAGGAAGTTAAAAATAGTATTTTCTGTAAACATTATGTATGTCTAACGTTCCCACTATGTAGCGGTGTTGCCATTACAGGTTTATTGTGATTTTATATAATCACAACTTTGACTTACTTTTAAAATAATATTGGTAAGGGATTCAAACCCACCTACTCAAATTTCAATCATGAAAAACTATGAATCACTCTGGAGTATATGATGTTTAGAATGTGAAACTGAAATAATTGCAATTTATTCAATTGTTAACTATTTCATTTATTTGAATTTTTTCATGCTGGTTGACATAGATACAAATGATATCAATTGTGATGAATCATTATTGTGTATGTATAATTTTTTTATACACTAAATGCTTACATAGTCGTATAATGATTTTATTATAAATCATATAAGTCTAATTGATTATGTATATTTTTAAGCTTTGTCAATAAATGCATGATCCATATCAAATAAATATACTCGGTTTTGACACCTTTCCTATATAACATTTATTTCATAAAGACACAAAAATTTAAATTTTTTAATAAAAGTTAAATATTACTTTTTTTCCTTAAAAATTATTACGGAATAATACTTTTCTAGCATTATAAATTATTTTAATTTAAAGGAAAATGAAAATCAGTGTCTTCAGGAAACACTTTAAGACCTTAAAATACTAATTTTGTTTTGAAAATCTGCGTATTTAATGTCTTGGAAATTGAAAAGGTTAAATTTTCTATAAAATATTTCTTTTTTTAGAATGTTTAAAGAGTGCCTTGAAGACACTGATTAACAAGACCCTAATTTAAATGGATAAGGGAGTATATATTTAATTTCATCACTATCATTCCTAGTCAAAACTTGATTGAGGGAGCAAATTCGTTAATTTATAAAATTAATTAATATAATTGCATTTAAATCTTTATTTTTGCAATAAATAAATATATTTATTTACTTTAAATTGTACAAGTAAATGTATCGAATTTTATTAATTTGTACCTTTTTTAGTCTCTAACTACCAAGTCAACGCATCCCTAATTAGTATGGTAATTGTCTTTGGTGGTAATGATAGATAGTTCACATTGAACTGCACCTTTCACTCACTAGAGTCCTATTCGATCTTTATCGATAATTACTCATTTAAAAGATATATCACCCCTAATTTGAACTCTCATATGACCTGTTAATGATATGAGAATTATTATCAATATTTATTTTTTAGTTCATGTGATATTTAGTTTAGAAATAAATAATCCTATCATATTTTCTTTTTCGAATGTCTAGTTAATAATGCTTACTTTTGTTTATTAAAACATTAAAAATATTTAGATTGAATTTGTTATTAATCAATTAGAATTGACTTTGATATATTGATTTTTTATTAAAAACCAATTGAAAATGAATTGATTTATATTTGAAGTATTTCAGTAAAATTGATATTTATTTATTGAGAGTTATTTTAATAGTTTATATTAAAAATGGTTTTGAGTACTAATGATTAAATTTAGATAGTAATTTAAATTCTAAAATTAATTTTAACACTACATTAAAAATTCAAGTATATTTATAGGATTATATGTTTTTCTTCTTTTGCTTCATATTCATATATATCCACTCTATATCATCTTAAAATATCCATTAAATAAATTACACAAATACGGAGGAAGTTAAAAATAGTATTTTCTATAAACATTATGTATATCTAACATTCCCACCATGTAGCGGTGTTGCCATTACAGGTTTATTGTGATTTTATATAATCACAACTTTGACTTGCTTTTAAAATAATATTGGTAAGGGATTCAAACCCACCGACTCAAATTTCAGTCATGAAAAACTATGAATCACACTACAAGAAAATTAGTGTTTAACGACACAAAAATTGCGACAGTTATGTGATAACTGTCGTAATTGACATATAGAGACAGTGTTTACGACAGTTGACACCAACCGTCCCTAATATTTATTTTGCGACAGTATATTTAACCATCATAATATTATTATTACGACGGTAAAACAACCGTCGGCCCCCATTTAACACTTTTAACATTGATTTTTCACCAACAACTAGTCACGACGGTAAAATTAACCGTCCTAAAAGGCATATCACGACGGTAAAGCACCCGTCGCACCCTTAAACCTTTCACGACGGTAAAATTATCCGTCCTAAAATTCATTTCACGACGGTAAAACAACCGTCGCACCCAAAATCTTTAAAAATTCTCATGGGCACGACGGTAAAACACCCGTCGCAGTAAAAAAGTTAAAAAGCTTAAAAAAGTTAAAAAGCTCATAAAACATCGATTAGAATGTTTCTTTAACAGTATATTGGAATTCCTTGAACAAGTTCCGTTTCCGCGGCATCCTCGACGAATCAATCGGCGAGGGAACCCATTTCCTCATCCCATGGGTTCAAAAACCCTACATCTTCGATATCAAAACCCGCCCCCATACTTTCTCATCAATATCCGGCACCAAAGATCTTCAAATGGTTAACCTAACTCTCCGAGTCCTCTCTCGTCCCGACACCGCGAAACTCCCTGTCATCGTTCAAAACCTCGGTCTCGAATACGACGAGAAAGTCCTCCCTTCGATCGGTAACGAAGTTCTTCACTTGGTTTGTTGGGATTGCTATAGCTGAGATATGTTCATCTTTCCCGGTTTGTCTCTTCTCATAAAGTTTATGCATGTACCAGTGAATTAGTGAATAATTTACATAACTAATTTTCAATTTTGATTCAATCTATAACAGACAACTGGTTCTCTAAATTAACCTTTTTCGTGTTGATTTCTTTACCCAAAACCCCTGAATTTCATGACCCATTTTGATTTTCTCGTTTTTGTTTTTATTTTCGATTTTGTTTGGTTATTTGCTAGGTTTATCATGTTTAAGGTGATCAAAGTACTTGACTTTCGCACCCTTGTAATATATATGATTAACCTGATTGGTGCTTTTGTTTCTCCAATTTTTGTAACCCTATTAATTTCATATTATATATTTCAGGAATGACAAAAGAAGTAAAAAAAAAATCCTTTTTTTTGAGGCATGAACTGTTGTTTTAGTTCTGGTTGCAAATTGCAATATTCATGAACAACAACTGTACACCAATTAACAAAATGTTGTCACAATGCCGATTGTTGCAGTTCTCTTTTTGATTCAGTTCTGTTTTTCAGGTTTGAGAGGATAACTTAGTTTTGTTTATCACCAACTTCCATGCCCAGGATGGACAATTGTAAAGATTTTCTAAGTTGGGTCGACCCTGATACGTCTCTCAATATTTTCAAGTGTCTGGATGATCCAGCAGATCTAGCCCGCGTCAGTTGTGTTTCACGATCTTGGAGAGACTTTGGTGAGTTATAGACGTTTAGTTGTATTTTATTTTTATATTTTAATGCCTCAGTCTCAAGAGGAGTTCAAGTTTAGATTCTCCGTGGCATACATTTTACGTTTCATTTTATTTCTGATCTGTTTGTCCTTTTAGAATTGCGTTCTTTGCTATATTTTGAGTATCAAACCTCATATTGCTCACATGTTTACAACTTAAAGATCCTATTTTGATGTTCTGGTTTTTGCAGTGGTTGCAAACGGCCTTTCTAAGCAGTTGTGCTTGAGAATGTTTCCTCAATTATCAAGAGTTGCTTGTGTTGTTGAACTAAACCAGGACGGAGTGAAGGAACACTCAGAGGTTGGATCTAGCCAATCTAATGAATGTCTAGCTCTATGGAAAGATCATAGAGTCTATAGTTATCTTGCTAGATCCTGCTTATCTCCTGTTGCTATGGATTGCATAGATAAGGCAATCAGTGCTTCTAGCACTGATAATTTTCCTCAGGAGAGCATTGTTAATACTCTAGAGGAAAGAGACAACATTGCTGGTAGATTTTCCTATTGGTCGAGTAGCGGACAAAGCAATCCCAATGTGCCTGAGACATTAACATACCAGTTGGCTTCTCAAATATGTGTTATTACAGAAATCAATATTCAGCCTTTCCAAGGTGATGTTTGAAATCTTCATAAACTATGCGCTCGACTCATTTATTTTAAATTTTTATGTTTTTTTGCTAACAATTTTTTTGTTAACTGACCAGCTCACTTTCAGATGGGGTCGCCAATATATTCAGCAAAATCTGTTAGGTTCAAAATGGGTCATCTTAAAGCCTCTTTAGATGATTTAACTGATGCGTTTGTATGGACCTATACATCTCCGAAGTTTCCAATGGCTCAGGTTTGTAACTTCTTATATCTTAGCTTGTTTCTATTTTTAGCCGGTCCAAAATGGGGACCATTTTCTTCATGGTGCTGTGCTTGGCTTGAAACCATAGGTCTTATTGCTGGGATAGGGACTCAGGTAAAAGGACTAATTCGGTTAAACTTCGACTCGGTGTTTTCATAGAATGTGTGCATCGTAACTCATACTTTTCATGGTTGGAATTCGGAAAGGCGTATGCAGGATCACAAACATTGCAGAGTATAATCCTACTCTCGACAGGCACGAATAAAGGCGGAGGGTACTTTGCCCCGAAATGGCTATTCTTATGTATGTACATTGGCCTCACTGTTATTTGGGCAGCATTGAACACATTTGCGTTAGAAGTTATCGCCTTCATCGATATAATTTCAATATGGTGGCAGGTACTTTTGCTTCATTATCTAACTATTCCAACTTACTGATTACAGTGAATGCGTTGTATCTTGACTCTAAAATGTACATCACAATTTACTCATAATCATTTTTACTGTGACAGGTTATTGGTGGAGCAGTGATAGTTATAATGTTACCTCTAGTGGCACTAACTACACAATCAGCTTCATATGTATTCACAAACTTTGAATTAGCACCTAATACAACAGGAATATCAAGCAAACCGTATGCGGTGATTCTATCGTTTCTTGTGAGCCAATATTCCCTCTATGGATACGATGCTGCAGCGCATCTAACCGAAGAAACTAAAGGCGCAGACAAGAACGGACCTATTGCAATACTAGGTAGTCTTGCCATCATTTCAGTATTTGGTTGGGCTTATATCTTGGCACTCACATTCAGCATTCAGGTATAAATAAATATAATCAACCAATTAACACTTCAGTTTTTGACAGAAGAGTGATAATTAACACCGGTTTCCATCTCTGATTCAGGATTTCGCTTATCTTTATGATCCAAACAATGAGACTGCTGGAGCATTTGTGCCAGCACAGATATTGTATGATGCATTCCATGGAAGATATCACAATTCTGCAGGAGCAATAGTTCTACTATTTATAATTTGGGGTTCTTTCTTCTTTGGTGGACTTTCAATCACCACAAGCGCTGCCAGAGTCGTAAGTACTACGACCCTACGAGCATTTTTGATTGATTTATTTGAGTTTATCTTAAACAATGTAATTTTCAGGTTTATGCACTGTCAAGAGGGAGTGCCGTTTTCGTTCCTATGGCGAAAATTGCATCCAAAGCACAAGGTTCCTACAAATGCTGTATGGCTATGGGCAGCAATATGCAATATACAAAGTTTGTTCTTCAGATTCAAATTCCAGTATACTTTGAATAAATATTACAAACAATTATGCCTTTGACTGAATCTGCAAAATTAGAGACTTGTCGAGGATTTATAATGGAGTAATTTTCACGCAGTAAAAATGGAACAATCATGGAAGTGGATCGAACGTCCAATGATTTGTGCAGGGGAAGGTCACTGTGCATATGCTCATATGCTGTTTGATGTCATTGCAGGGATGGATGAAGTTGTTAAGTCAAATGGCTTTAAAGCTTCCAGATGTGTCAAACCTTAAATCGCTCACAGTTCTGTGCAATGAGGACGGTGAAGCAATTTTTTTTGACAATATAGCCGATCCAGTGGTAGGTTTATGTTTAACTGTTAATCTAAGTAATTTCCCTTTTTGTTGTATTATGTGTATTTTTGCGCCTTTCCTTATTGTAGTCAGAAACACTTTCGGACTCATTGTCTTGTTATTTTAGCCATAACTTTTGGTTGAGTTATTAAAATTGTTTTCAAAACATCTCACATGTAAATTTGATATTGCAGATCCGTAAGAGAGTGAAGGCATTGTCGCTATTTAGAAATGTAATCAGTACAAACAAATTATCAGAGGTAGTAAGTTTAACTTCACAAGTATAAGCATCATTCCTAGTGACCATTTTTTTTTGGATAAGCATCTAATGACTGGTTTTTAATTGTTTATGGTTTATTCCAGTTTATCACTGAAAAAGTGTTCATGCGTCTCTTCTTCAACATGTTGTTTGATGAGAAAGAAGGACAGGTTGACCATATGAAAACTGCATGCATCGAGACCATTGCTTCTGTAGCTGGTCAGATGGGATGGAAGTCATACTATGCACTATTGGACAAATGTTTTCAGGGAACATCCAGGAGTCCAGACAAACAGAAACTCTACATACGCCTCGTCTGTTCTATTTTGGATAAATTTCACTTTTCAGAACTTTGTCACACTGAAGAACCTAAGAAAGCTTTGGTTGGTGTTTCTGACAAGGGGATAAGTGACATTGTTTCTTCAATTAATTTAGGAAACTTTGGTGCATCTGATGTGAACACAGATATACAGACGTGCCTCTATAAAGTTGTGCTTCCTAAAATACAAAAGCTGATGGATTCTGATTCAGAAAAGGTCAATGTAAATATCAGTCTTGCTGCATTGAAACTACTTAAGTTACTTCCAGGTGATGTGATGGACACATATCTTCCAACTATCATTCATCGAATTTCAAACTTCTTAAAGAGTCGTCTAGAAAGCATTCGTGATAAAGCTAGGTCTACATTGGCTACTTGTTTAAAAGAGCTTGGATTGGAATACTTGCAATTCATTATTAAGGTTTTGCGATCTACCCTAAAGCGAGGATATGAACTTCATGTCCTAGGATACACACTGAATTTTATTTTGTCCAAGTGTCTCGCAAGTGCAGTTTGTGGAAAGATAGATTACTGTTTGGGGGATCTCCTTTCTATCATAGAGAATGACATTTTTGGAGCTGTTGCAGAGCAGAAGGAGGTGGAAAAGATAGCTTCAAAAATGAAAGAAACAAAGAAGAAAAAGTCATTTGAGAGCTTGAAATTGGTGGCCCAAAACGTAACATTCAAAAACAATGCTCTAAAGCTGCTTGCACCAGTGACTACTCATTTGAAAAAACATGTCACGCAAAATGTGAAAGGAAGATTGGAAAATATGTTGCATAGTATAGCTGCTGGTATGCCAGAATATATTTGTTGCAGGAACAGACACAAGCTCGTACACACTAGAATGGGCAATGGCAGAGTTAATGCACAATCCAGAAATCATGTCAAAAGTACAAAATGAACTCGAACAAGTTGTTGGCAAAGGTATTCCAGTCGAAGAAACAGACATAGCCAAATTACCATACATGCAAGCAGTTATAAAAGAGACGTTTCGTGTACATCCACCAGTTCCGTTATTACTACCTCGCAAAGCAGAAACAGATGTTGAAATTGGTGACTACATTATTCCAAAAGATGCACAAGTTTTGGTTAATGCTTGGGTTATTGGCAGAGATCCAAGTAAATGGGAGAATCCTAATGCTTTTGTGCCGGAGAGATTTTTCAATAGTGAGATTGATTTTAAAGGACATCATTTTGAGCTTATTCCATTTGGGTCTGGTAGAAGAATTTGTCCTGGTTTGCCTTTGGCTATTAGAATGTTGCCTTTGATGTTGGGATCTTTGGTTAATTGCTTTGATTGGAGACTTGAAGATGGATTGAATGTCGATGATTTGAATAAGGAAGATGAGTATGGGATTACCTTGGAAAAATCTCAACCTGTGAGAATTGTTCCAATCAAATTGACTAAGCAATAATTTAGAATATATGCACGGTTCTTTCATGATGCAGCGGTTTGTAAACTCTTGATGTTGTCTGACCAAACAATACTGTTCTCTGTCAATGGAACTAGGATTTGTGGTCGTGCCAACATTTTACTTACTATAAGAACTAGTTATAAATAATGTGTAATTTGTTTTTGTTTTAATTTGGTGAATGGATATGGTCTTCTTCATAGAGTAAATTTAGGTTCTATTATGTTATTTGAATAAGTCACACTGTTATGGTCCTGGGAGGATCATGGGTTCAGTTTAGGTTATCCTAGTTTATAGGATTTGTTTGTTTCGATTTTCTAGGCACCTTCTATCCGTTTTATTAGGCACTATCTAGTGCATTCAGTTTCTTTTGCAGTTTCCTTTGTAAGGCTATTTATAAGCCATGATTCCTATTAATATATAAGTGAGAGAGAATAATGATTACTTTGGCAGGGTGATGGATAATAATTTAAATAAAAAATATATATAATAGAAAAATAAAAAAAATCAAGACATAAATAAAAGTCATGGCGACAGTACCGAACCGTCGTAATCAACAATTAAAAATAATCAACAAAAGTCATGACGGTATCGAACCGTCGCCATAAACAATTTAATCAATTTCAAAAGATATTCACGACAGTATCGAACCGTCGCCATCAATAATTAAAAGAAACTCAAAACATAGTCACGACGGTATCAACCCGTCGTAAACTTGAACGACAGTTTTTGTAACCGTCGTGAAATAGGTTGGGGACACACATTTCTGCGACGGTAAAGCAACCGTCGTGGAAAGCAAATTGCGACGGTTTTAACCGTCGTAATCTACAAAAATACCTGTCGCAATCTGCCAATTTTCTTGTAGTGTCACTCTGGAGTATATGATGTTTAGAAGGTGAAACTGAAATAATTGCAATTTATTCAATTGTTAACTATTTCATTTATTTGAATTTTTTCATGCTAGTTGACATAGATACAAATGATATCAATTGTGATGAATCATTATTCTGTATGTATAATTTTTTTATACACTAAATGCTTACATAGTCGTATAATGATTTTATTATAAATCATATAAGTCTAATTGATTATGTATATTTTTAAGCTTTGTCAATAAATGCATGATCCATATCAAATAAATATACTCGGTTTTGACACCTTTCCTATATAACATATATTTCATAAAGACACAAAAATTTAAATTTTTTAATAAAACTTAAAAATTACTTTTTTTCCTTATAAATTATTACGGAATAATACTTTTCTAGCATTATAAATTATTTTAATTTAAAGGAAAATGAAAATCAGTGTCTTCAGGAAACACTTTAAGACCTTAAAATACTAATTTTGTTTTGAAAATCTGCGTATTTAATGTCTTGGAAATTGAAAAGGTTAAATTTTCTATAAAATATTTCTTTTTTTAGAATGTTTAAAGAGTGCCTTGAAGACACTGATTAACAAGACCCTAATTTAAATGGATAAGGGAGTATATATTTAATTTCATCACTATCATTCCTAGTCAAAACTTGATTGAGGGAGCAAATTCGTTAATTTATAAAATTAATTAATATAATTGCATTTAAATCTTTATTTTTGCAATAAATAAATATATTTATTTACTTTAAATTGTACAAGTAAATGTATCGAATTTTATTAATTTCTGCCTTTTTAGGCTCTAACTACCAAGTCAACGCATCCCGAATTAGTATGGTAATTGTCTTTGGTGGCTATGATAGATAGTTCACATTGAACTGCACCTTTCACTCACTAGAGTCCTATTCGATCTTTATCGGTAATTACTCATTTAAAAGATATATCACCCCTAATTTGAACTCTCATATGACCTGTTAATGATATGAGAATTATTATCAATATTTATTTTTTAGTTAATGTGATATTTAGTTTATAAATAAATAATCCTATCATATTTTATTTTTCGAATGTCTAGTTAATAATGCCTACTTTTGTTTATTAAAACATTAAAAATATTTAGATTGCATTTGTTATTAATCAATTAGAATTGACTTTGATATATTGATTTTTGATTAAAAACAAATTGAAAATGAATTGATTTATATTTGAAGTATTTCAGTAAAATTGATATTTATTTATTGAGAGTTATTTTAATAGTTTATATTAAAAATGGTTTTGAGTACTAATGATTAAATTTAGATAGTAATTTAAATTCTAAAATTAATTTTAACACTACATTAAAAATTCCATTATATTTATAGGATTATATTTTTTTCTTCTTTTGCTTCATATTCATATATATCCACTCTATATCATCTTAAAATATCCATTAAATAAATTACACAAATACGGAGGAAGTTAAAAATAGTATTTTCTGTAAACATTATGTATATCTAACATTCCCACCATGTAGCGGTGTTGCCATTACAGGTTTATTGTGATTTTATATAATCACAACTTTGACTTGCTTTTAAAATAATATTGGTAAGGGATTCAAACCCACCGACTCAAATTTCAATCATGAAAAACTATGAATCACTCTGGAGTATATGATGTTTAGAATGTGAAAATGAAATAATTGCAATTTATTCAATTGTTAACTATTTCATTTATTTGAATTTTTTCATGCTAGTTGACATAGATACAAATGATATCAATTGTGATGAATCATTATTCTGTATGTATAATTTTTTTATACACTAAATGCTTACATAGTCGTATAATGATTTTATTATAAATCATATAAGTCTAATTGATTATGTATATTTTTAAGCTTTGTCAATAAATGCATGATCCATATCAAATAAATATACTCGGTTTTGACACCTTTCCTATATAACATATATTTCATAAAGACACAAAAATTTAAATTTTTTAATAAAAGTTAAATATTACTTTTTTTCCTTATAAATTATTACGGAATAATACTTTTCTAGCATTATAAATTATTTTAATTTAAAGGAAAATGAAAATCAGTGTCTTCAGGAAACACTTTAAGACCTTAAAATACTAATTTTGTTTTGAAAATCTGCGTATTTAATGTCTTGGAAATTGAAAAGGTTAAATTTTCTATAAAATATTTCTTTTTTTAGAATGTTTAAAGAGTGCCTTGAAGACACTGATTAACAAGACCCTAATTTAAATGGATAAGGGAGTATATATTTAATTTCATCACTATCATTCCTAGTCAAAACTTGATTGAGGGAGCAAATTCGTTAATTTATAAAATTAATTAATATAATTGCATTTAAATCTTTATTTTTGCAATAAATAAATATATTTATTTACTTTAAATTGTACAAGTAAATGTATCAAATTTTATTAATTTCTACCTTTTTTAGTCTCTAACTACCAAGTCAACGCATCCCGAATTAGTATGGTAATTGTCTTTGGTGGCTATGATAGATAGTTCACATTGAACTGCACCTTTCACTCACTAGAGTCCTATTCGATCTTTATCGATAATTACTCATTTAAAAGATATATCACCCCTAATTTGAACTCTCATATGACCTGTTAATGATATGAGAATTATTATCAATATTTATTTTTTAGTTAATGTGATATTTAGTTTATAAATAAATAATCCTATCATATTTTATTTTTCGAATGTCTAGTTAATAATGCCTACTTTTGTTTATTAAAACATTAAAAATATTTAGATTGCATTTGTTATTAATCAATTAGAATTGACTTTGATATATTGATTTTTGATTAAAAACAAATTGATTTATATTTGAAGTATTTCAGTATAATTGATATTTATTTATTGAGAGTTATTTTAATAGTTTATATTAAAAATGGTTTTGAGTACTAATGATTAAATTTAGATAGTAATTTAAATTCTAAAATTAATTTTAACACTACATTAAAAATTCGAGTATATTTATAGGATTATATTTTTTTCTTCTTTTGCTTCATATTCATATATATCCACTCTATATCATCTTAAAATATCCATTAAATAAATTACACAAATACGGAGGAAGTTAAAAATAGTATTTTTTGTAAACATTATGTATGTCTAACGTTCCCACTATGTAGCGGTGTTGCCATTACAGGTTTATTGTGATTTTATATAATCACAACTTTGACTTGCTTTTAAAATAATATTGGTAAGGGATTCAAACCCACCTACTCAAATTTCAATCATGAAAAACTATGAATCACTTTGGAGTATATGATGTTTAGAATGTGAAACTGAAATAATTGCAATTTATTCAATTGTTAACTATTTCATTTATTTGAATTTTTTCATGCTAGTTGACATAGATACAAATGATATCAATTGTGATGAATCATTATTCTGTATGTATAATTTTTTTATACACTAAATGCTTACATAGTCGTATAATGATTTTATTATAAATCATATAAGTCTAATTGATTATGTATATTTTTAAGCTTTGTCAATAAATGCATGATCCATATCAAATAAATATACTCGGTTTTGACACCTTTCCTATATAACATATATTTCATAAAGACACAAAAATTTAAATTTTTTAATAAAAGTTAAATATTACTTTTTTTCCTTAAAAATTATTACGGAATAATACTTTTCTAGCATTATAAATTATTTTAATTTAAAGGAAAATGAAAATCAGTGTCTTCAGGAAACACTTTAAGACCTTAAAATACTAATTTTGTTTTGAAAATCTGCGTATTTAGTGTCTTGGAAATTGAAAAGGTTAAATTTTCTATAAAATATTTCTTTTTTTAGAATGTTTAAAGAGTGCCTTGAAGACAATGATTAACAAGACCCTAATTTAAATGGATAAGGGAGTATATATTTAATTTCATCACTATCATTCCTAGTCAAAACTTGATTGAGGGAGCAAATTCATTAATTTATAAAATTAATTAATATAATTGCATTTAAATCTTTATTTTTGCAATAAATAAATATAGTTATTTACTTTAAATTGTACAAGTAAATGTGTCGAATTTTATTAATTTGTACCTTTTTTAGTCTCTAACTACCAAGTCAACGTATCCCGAATTAGTATGGTAATTGTCTTTGGTGGCTA